TTAGGTCAATGAATAACAAACTGTTTACAATAATAATTTATTGTCAATGAAAATAAGTTACGTCAGATATGTCAATTTACAAGCAAGATGGAGATTTACTCATCAGGATCAGGGATAACCAACGCTCATCAGCCGATTTCACTGAATGAACTCTTTACAAGATTGTGTTCGCATTCGGTTCTTTATAGCCACTCTACTAATTTATTTCAGTAATAACGTTGTTTATACTGTGCGGCCATCTAGATAGCAGTCGTACCTGGGTGCAATAAAAGGGTAGTACATGTAGAATATTAACCGTGAGGTTTGACTTCAATAACAGCTTACTGGTTGCATCACACTCGTCCAACTCGGATAGGCCTGCAATAATCGACATAGATCAATACGCTGCAAATCTACACGTAACAGGCTGAGAAACTGATTGTCACACACAGTAAAAGGTATGTTTTTCTAAACGTTTGCTCACAGAAACCCATTTTCAGAAATTTTGTTGTTGTAGGAGTTTCTATGTCAATCGTTGGTATGAATATGCTACAACAATGGGCAAATATCACATGACAACCTGCGGCATTCTCTTTGAGACGATTAAATGTTTGACGGAGAACTTCCAGCCATATCCTGTGCTGTATGGCACTTTCGAAGCTCTATTAGACGTCGAGACTTTACTCTTTTCACATATCACAAACGTCTGGCAGTTTACTTCAAACATTCAACACATTTCTGGGTCAAACAATGTAGTCGCAGGCACCTTGTCACGTATAACGTCCTTGAACATTTTCCAAGGAATCGACCTTCTTAAGCTCTCCCAGCTCCAAAGAAAGACAGTGATCTTCGGCGCGAGTTATCCGCAACTAACCTTAAATTGCGCATTGAAAAAAACATGGGAACAGGTAAGGAAACCTTACTACGCAACACATTATAGCGGTAAATAAATCCCCAAACTAAGTAACTCCGTAAGTTTTCGACATTGGATGCTGACCATATGCTTCAGTGGACTCATCTAGCTGAAGGCGCTCGGTCATGGATCCGCACCAGATCACGTGTGGTAACGCTGTGCTCAAAATCTACCGCAATCGCTAGCCAGATTAGATCAGAGAATTCCGATATATTGGTTATGGCCAAATACACTCTTCCGATCTCCTCGACTCTGTCTTTTGATTTCTCTCGGTGGGAACAAAGCATATTAGAAGGTGTTATTGGTAGAAGCGTTGTCAAACACTGAATACCTGTATCATCATCATTGGTGAAACAAACGTGATCTGGTACACCTAATTGCAACTGTGAGTCTGTTCCTTTTTGGGATTTTTATATATCATTGCCTTATATTTTATTTTTTAAACATTGTGATTTTTTTTCGTGTTTTTTCTTAAATATATATATTTTTTCCCCTCGTTCATTATCGTACTTCATATTTCATCATGACTGAACAGACACCCAAAGTACTCAAGCTTAAGACTTTGTCCCCGCCTTCGTTTCAGTTGATGCCTTTCTGGCCCGACAATATCGAAGCCTGGTTCTGCTACGCAGAAGCTGACTTCCACGATCACGGCGTGAACGACACACGTGCACAATTCCTCACAGTAGTCAAGGTACTACCGCGCAAATTCAACAGGTACGTAACACCTAGTATGTTTACTAGTGATGTTTCCGAACCTTACGAAATCTTAAAACGTTCGATTCTTAAACGAAGAGATCTAACAAATCGATTAAGATTAGATCAACTCTTTAATAACATAGACCTGCAACACGGTTCTGCGACGGACATGTTCCAAAGAATGAGAGAAGCGATAGGCCTAAGAACTTTCGATGAAGGCCTATTCAAACAACTTTTCTTGTCAAAACATCCACAACAGGTGCAAGCGGTTCTGGTCTCGTTTCAGAACAACGCCTTAGACGAGCTGGCTGCATCTGCCGATCGTATCTTAGAAATTACGAAATATTCTACTACCGAGGTATTTTCAGTCAAAAAAAGCCTCAAACGACTCAGAATGACATAACCGAATTATGTCATACACTCACGCGTTATCTTAATCTTCGCAACGACCGTAATCGCTCACACAGCCCACGTAGAAGCATTCCACGTAAGCGATCTGTTTCTAGACCATGAGAGACGGATAACCACGACTGATGCTGGTATCATAACCAGTATGGAAAGTCTTCCAGAAATTGCAGAAAACCCTGCAATTTTCCCAACACGAAACCGACTGACTCGAAAAACAACTCGGGAAACTTCCAAGCCGGCACGCGTTAACGGCAGCCGTAGCCGGGGAAAATAGCCGTCTGTTATACGTCACAGATGTTATAACGAGAGTTCGCTACCTCGTCGATACTGGCGCAGAAGTTAGCGTTCTCCCAGCAAATCCTAATGACCGGCTTCACGAATAGGTTTTAAATTTACAGGCGGCAAAAGGAAAACCTATCGCTACGTATGGCAAAAGGTACGTTTACATCAACGTGGGTTTACGCAAACCCATTCACTGGATCTTCGTTGTTGCAGATGTTTCTATGCCAATCATTGGTATGGACCTTTCGTGCCTATAGATAACCCTCGTGTTATTGATAGAAGAAGCCCGACAAAAAGTGAATATTTCTTTATTTCGATCTTAGCGCAGCCACAGTGGAGCGTGGGACTATCTGTTCAGACAAACAAAGGCTTTCAGCATTCAATATAAGATAATAAGGAATATAACGCTTATACAAAATAAGGAAGTGAATGAATACTTGAACAATACTGTTTTGGCATATGCTTGGTTGTTTGGGGTCAACTCTTAACCAACCAACCTATGCTGTTACATTAGCTTCCCCCTAGAATCGACTTCCGTAGGAACGTCGGTTCGATTAACCTATCTATCAAAAACACCTTAGTTCTATTTCTCATCTCAAGGGAAAATTATCAACTCACTCAATGTTTGACTTACAATAAGTGGCAACTAACGCTGTCAACGGTAGTCCATGGATGTCTCTTCATTTACTAGCTTGTCATCTTATTTTGTAGCATGTGATTTCTTCTACAACTATAGCTGACGGTTTACTGCGTGCTTTCATGAGAAAGAGTGTTAAACTGTGGAATAAGAATATCTGAGGAAGTGCCGCGAGCGGGCTACCCAACACCATGTTGGTGAGGTACGATTTTTCCATGCTCAGACCGGCTATCAGGTGTTTACTCACCTGCCTCTTGAGTCGCCCTCAAGTAAAAAGTAAAGAAGAATCTACTTCAAAGGTAATGGGGAAGACCAATCAAACCTAAAGAACTGCTCCACTGCCTGCATCAAAATAATAAGATACAAAATGGAAATACATAAACATAATTGATAATTGTTCGGTTCCACGTAAGTGATTGGCCTCCAGAACGGATTGGTATTCTGGAAGAAAATAGACATAGTGTAGCCATCTTGTGTACGGAAAGGTATGAAACAAAAATGAGGTTAATTTGTGTTCAAAAAGGGCTCACCAATTTCGTGCCTATAGATAACCCTCGTGTTATTGATAGAAGAAGCCCGACAAAAAGTGAATATTTCTTTATTTCGATCTTAGCGCAGCCACAGTGGAGCGTGGGACTATCTGTTCAGACAAACAAAGGCTTTCAGCATTCAATGTAAGATAATAAGGAATATAACGCTTATACAAAATAAGGAAGTGAATGAATACTTGAACAATACTGTTTTGGCATATGCTTGGTTGTTTGGGGTCAACTCTTAACCAACCAACCTATGCTGTTACAGACCTTCTACAACACCATAATCTGATCATCGAGGAGGCTAGTAAACGGAAACACTAATTTATCCGTTTGCGTAACTTCTTTTTCTGGTTGCAGATTTTCCCCAATCACAATTAAGGATACGGTATATTGGTTATGGCCAAATACACTCTTCCGATCTCCTCGACTCTATCTTTTGATTTCTCTCGATGGGAACAAATTATTTTAGAAGGTGTTGCTAGTAAAAGCGTTGTCAAACACTGAATACCTGTACCATCTTCAATATCTACCAGTAAGGATCTGTCGATCGTGCCAAAACATTATCGACGAAACGTCTTCAATACGTGGCACAAACGTCCTCACCCAGTTGCTTGTGCAACCATCAAGCTTATAGCAGGACAGTTCCACTGGCCTGGTATGAATAAAGACGTAGGGGAGTGGGCATGCTCCTGTGTAAGCTGCCAGAAATCTAAGGTTATTAGAAACAACAAACGTCTTTAGATCCATTCAAAACTCCTAGTGCTCGATTCGATCGTAATCATCTGGATTTGGTAGGACCTTTACCAGATTCAAATGGATACTCTTATCTTTTAACCTGCGTAGACCACTTCACTCGATGGCCAGAAGCATTACGTATCATGGACATCACTGCTGAAACAGTGGCCAGCGATTATGAAGGTGCTAGATGTAAAAACGCTGTCAAACTGAAAATGCTTGTGACATCTTCAGATGCCACCTTAACCAGTAACACCTATAATCCAAACGTGCTAACACAGTGAAATCACAAGCGAAGAGGTTCAAAAATATATTTGATAGACTATCAACATATTGAGAATTGACTATTCTAAACTGGCTACCGGTTGTAGGAAGATTTGAGAATAGCGTTCTTACTCGTGATCTGGTGCGGATGCATGACCGAGCGCCTTCAGCCAGGTGAATCCCGTAAAACCAATGTGGTCAGCATCCAATGTGGAAGACTCACAGAACTGTTGATTTTCGAGATTTATTTGCCGCTACATATATTTAGTCAAACAAAAATGAATCAATATAGAATAATAAGCAATGTTATTGTTGTGCGTGATAAATGCAGAAAAAGGTCACACTTATCGTATTAGTTCACGATAAATCACATTTTGGTTGTGTTTAGGAATCTTTGTGGACCGAAAAAATTAAATAAAATAGCTGAATATATTTTCACTAACCTGAGAACTTTAATATACTATTAAGACACAAATCATATAAGGCAAACAGCCTAGTAATTCAACTCAGTTTAAAGTTTGAACCAAGAGAGCGCCACTTCCGACAGATGCGTTGCTTCCAGGGTAAGTAGTCCTGCATCCGAAATAGTTTTGGTCGTCACAGAAATTAATTATATGGTCACTAGTTATTCAGCATCTAAGACTTATGCTGAAAAATACTGAATCCGATATTGATACCAATATTTTCTGGCTGATTGTTGTATAAGCATAGTTTGTTCAACTAAACCTCGATTATAATTCAATCCATCTTCACCTTTCGCAGTAACCGAGAAATTTCCTCAAAACAGCGTACGTCATTAAGGAAGATTGGGTTTTTTCCCCGAATTCATCTGATCTTTGTCTTTAATACCCTGGAATCGGTTGCTTAATTTTCGATTCCAGGATAGACGATTCCGTTTCTCTAAAAGCACACTAGCTTCATTTGCATGCACTGGTGGATTAGCTTTTAGAATTTCAAGGATAAATTTACAATACTGTCATTTTTTCGAGTTGATAGCTTTGAGACTGGGAGTAATTATATATGTAGGTAAATATATCACTTATTTTCTCGGTTTTTGTATAAAATTATAAGAACATCAAGCACCTGAAAATCACTTTGACTGTTAAAGTAAGCATAGTATAAATATTTGTACCTAATTTGTCTCTTCAGTGATGTGAACAGCCATGTTCTGTACTTGCAATACTTACCTTCTGAAGTAATGTTCGGTGACTTATATTCAATCGTATTAAATCTTCTAGTGACCGCTCATACCGAGTAGTCGATCTAATTAACGAGAAGTTGCAGTGATATGTGCTCGGGTGCGATTATCTTCGTTCAGTTTTCGTTGCCATTCAAAAACACTGGCCTAGATGGCCTAGACATGCTCTACGAATAGTCTAAGAGAATTCCACAGTTCGCTATTTTTAAATGCTAGCCCTAGCTAAAAAGGTGGATAGTCGATAAGTCTATGGAATTGTCATAGGCCAATGGGTTATGACAACATCACTTTCGAATTTTGTAACACTGAGGTTCAGAGGTAACCTGCACAAAAGCCTCACGCGTTTTGTTATAACTTCGTCTATTTATTTAAACACAAACCAATTGATTTGTGTGAAGACTGAAGTATTATCCGAGATCTCAAACCGAAGAAGCGTTTTCCTAAGTGGTCACTTCTCGAGCTTTTGACTTACAGGTCTAGTCCATAAGTTAGTGGAGTAAGATTAAGAGATGCAACCTGATGGTAGCCGGTGACTAATAATAGGTTCATACGTCATTTGTTCCCTCAGAGTCCTGGAGTACATGTGCACCATCGGTTTGGAATCAGGGTTTTCCGAATCCCCTAGATAGACCCTCCGTATCTACCAACCCGGTTAAGGCGCCGAACATTCACTTTCCGCCCTCTCAATTTCGTAACAAAACTCCAGCCGTAAGAAGACAGTGGCTGCACATACGTGGCCAAGAGAGAGCTGACTCTCCCACCCTCGATTGTTCCAGGGGATTTGGGAGCTTTTATGACTATAACTTAAGAAGACACTCATTATCTACAGCCTAAGATTGATCTGATTGTTTTGTCCTCATTGGCCGATCAAACCAAATGACTCTCTTACCACTTGGAAATCACACTTGTTAGTTTCCATAAAGCGATACGTTTTTAAAATAGTATAGGCAACTAATATCAAGGTAAACATAAAGCTTATCATGTTATTGTCATTGTAAGTTCCTACACTGCATAAAACAATGAATAAATAATACAAATAGTAGAAGTAGTAGCAATTGTATTAGTTGTAGTAATGAACTACAAAAGAAACATTTCTGGATGTTAAGATAAAAAGAAATAGATTGAAGATGTGTCCGTTACAGCAGTCTGGAAAATAAATATTTTGTGTCTTTATGGTCTAGCTCAAACAGCTTTTCAATGTCCTCATGCCTACAGTCCATGCGTTGACTACCTATTATAAATCTAATAAACTCGTTTTTTGCCTTGCTATGACCACATTTAAGCTACCATCCCGCTTCATTTATTATTACACATCAAAACTAGCAGTGTACGAGCGTTCATAGCATTCAATCTGCCTACCCGATTCTACTCAGTTTTACTATCTCCATCTGATTCTCTCTCACTTTAGACCATCGTTAATCACCAAACTAGGATAATAAGGCTAGAAATCTGAAGCTGAATTATCACTTTATGGTCTTCCAGAAATTGGAGGAAGAAGGAAACCTTGATTATGGTTTATTTAAGTTACAACAGTACTCGTTGATTGATTTCTGGGAAGACCCTTACTATTTCATTACCATTGTGAACTTTGTATAGCTAAACTTAATAGTACACCTGTTCGAGAAGTGTAGGCCTAATTGTTTCAATTTTTTATAAAGGCTATTTATCTCAGAATTGTTTGTTTCCCGATCGTCTAGTCACTGTCCCTTTTGTATGTTTATACATATGGACCAATCAATTAAACTGAATCAATGTTGTTCTCCGTCATCGATGCAAAACAAGCTAATCAATGGAGTTCAAATGAAAGCAAATCGTATAGTAGATTGTGATTATTGTCATTTACCATGTATCACTCAAAAACATAATAAATCTCGTAAGTTATAATTGAAAAACTGGTGGTTGTTTGTTAATTTATGTGTTTTTGTATATGGCGTGGGACAACGCTCGTAGTTTCATAATCAGTTTCGCGAAAATCGACTTTTATTTTACGTCGAATATCCTATTAATATTTGCATTTTATTATATGTTTGTTTCCTAACTCTAGCGACATGAAATGACCATTTATCGCTTAGCATTGAGTAGGTATTATTTGAATGTACCCGGAAAATTGTTTTCAGACTAACTGATAATAAAGATGAGTAATATCGATCATCTTAAAAAGCCTTTATGTCAATAATTTAGTATCTAACATATAAATGCACTTTATCCTCCATATTGAACTTTGATTTCGTTTCCAATCATATCGTAATGTTTATTGTCATATCTTAACTAAGTACCTACTTAACTTGAACATTAATACCATGCTATTATCTTAAGTATTTGTCTCTTTTACATATTGTTTAAAATTACTAGCTATCTTTTCTGAACACTTAAATACATAAGTACTAGCTAAACTAAGCATTTAACTCTAAACACAGGACATAAGTCGCGTATTTTAATCACAATATGACTTTCTCATATTTTTTAGGAATATGCTTTCCTGTCGTAGTTGAAGTTCAGGACTCGGCCTAATCGAAAAGTTCCCTTGATTACCCTACTACATCGACCTTATTAATGCATTGTTCTGGTTACTCATTTAAATCTAAAGATGTTTTTTAAAAGTCCTACTGATCAACCTTTCGATGTACACCAAAACAACTTCATTTCAGCACTTTACACATACAGTTTATCCAATTCTTTATGCCTCAAGTATTTAATTGCAGAAACATGAGCTTTCTGATGTTGTGCAGAACTTGCTTGATTGTGTATAGCCAATTATAGCAGTCTTCTAGTCCTGTGCTACAACTACCAGGGTGTCGATGGAAAGACCATACATCAGGTACACTAAGTATCTTACGTTAGCTTTTCTTCTCATGTTAATATTAAGTGAAGCAAAGCAATGAAATAGGGACTTTCTTAACTAATATTTTCGTTCAAATTTTCATTGTTCTCTAATTTCCTTTTATACTTGATGATTTTATTCTCTTTTAAATGACACATCTCAGTTCCTATACCCGCCAGCTTTTATAGTGTAACGAAAACAAAATTGAAATACATTTACGTAGACGAGATATCTGTCTATTATTAGGCGAGTATATCGCTCATCGACCCAATCCTTTTGACTGTTGAATAGATTTTGAAGAATAGAAATATTCACACTTTACTGTAGGTTAGTCATAGATGTCGTCAAGCAATGTTAGGATTTTTGGTGGATCAATCGAGCCAGCCGTGTTGAAGCTAAAAATAGAATACTAGGTAGATATGGTTAATTGTTTAATAAGAGGTGGTTAGGGTATTCATCAGGTAAGGGTCTGTTGGAAGCAAGCTAGGTATTTCAGTCTACAGAGCCATCGACTTTTGATCTGAACCGTGTTGGTAGGCCCAAACTATCTAGCTAGGGTCCAGAGAATAACCCTAAATAGCATTTAGACGTATTGAGTGAAATTACACAGTGGTACAAATGGATTGACTCTATTCCGTCCATAGATCCAATATCACTCCGTACATAACTTATTTCAATCCCTTCTTGTCATGCCATATACTCTATGTTTATTCTTATTATCATTGCTACTACTATTTTGTCTTCTACCTTATTGTTTATTTATCCTCTCTGAGTTGATTTAGTGTTCCAACTTAAAAAGTCACACATTTGTCCAAGGTTCTGTTCTGTTTATGATTGACTGACTGCACGTTTATTAAATTCTGATGAAATACCTAGTTTTAGAAAGTTAGCAATACTATTGTATTGTAAAAGCAGACATAAGCGAGAAATAATATTCAAACCTTAGGTTGACGGATTCACACTTAAATAGATTAATTTGTAGCTTCTACCTCTTCTATGAACTAGGGCGTGAACTACATAGTTTATGTAAAACCTAATAATAGCCACATTATATGGTCTTCTGAACTGTAATAATTAAAATTAAGTTTAAGCCTGCAGTTTTGGACTTGTAATCTAAGCAATAATGTCATTGAATCGCATCAAATTGTCTCAGCAATCTATAACTTCGAACATGTATACCTCCAATTCGATTTCAAGTGTGAACTGTCGTGTAAATTACGAAGAAACAAATAAAACACGATGCAACATCATCATATTATGTAAGATAGATGAATCCACTTCAGAGGCGTTATTGAGTTGGTTTCATTATCTCTTAATTGATATATTCAATGACGGTTAAAAGCTTGCTATATTTCTCATAAACTTAGTGTCTTAGCACATTGCGCTGTAACTGTTTTTGACTATTCGTCCTTTATGCTTGAATATAAACTTATTCAAATGTTATCAGAATAATTTCAGAATGAACTATTATTTATCTCAATTCCAGACATTTTCTGTTTAAGCACTCAATTTTATTAGGAAGAGGGATTTTCGTTTTTTCCTAACTAGAATGAGTTTTACAAATAGTTACCTATAAAAATTTCTGTTTCCTTTAGTTCTAAGTGGATAAAATAAGAAAGTTTGTAGGCGGATATTTCAATCTGGCTACATGTAACTGTTATGCATGGAATGTGTATTACATAGTAGTTTCATATTTTTATTAATATACTTATAGATTTTAGTATGTAACCAATTATTATTATAATATTCTAAATGTCTTTATCTACACCCCGTACACTTAAGGACATTCGGTATTGCTATAAACTCCCAATTAAATGGCGCATGCACAGATATATTGAGATCGGTTCAGTATTTCCCTCTATACCTTTTCACAATATGTATAGTTGTAATCACTATCGTGTCGATAATTAATACGTCTTAGAATTATCATTTGTATGGGTATGGAAACTGGATATCCGTATATATTTTTTTGTTTTTTTCTCTATTAAGAATAAATATATGCATAATACTGTGTGAGGCAAATTGCTTATACCTTGTCATTAATCGTCCATTTTGTGCTTTTTATTAGGACAAAGTGGTCCACATTTTTCTATACAAAATATTATTATTAGTTAACCTTTATTTTATATTCTACATTCTTCTGTTAATGTAAACATGACTTCTTTGAGGTTGCACCCACCTACTACAAAAGTATCATTTTAAATAATGTCTCGAAAGTTAACCTTAATGATTATCTGACATTTAACTGGAACTCATAAACAATGAATTCGGGAAAGCTAGCACAGTTTTAAACCTGGACTTGGATGTGTAGATCAAATATTCACTCTTCATCAGGCTTTGAAACGTGGGTATGTTATCAAGGCCCAACCATAATTGCATCTGTTGACCTTAAGGCGATATTCGATCCCATCAGTTGCGCTTTGTATCTCTCGTTAGGGTATCTACCAAAGACGTACGCAGTGCAAACACTAGCCGCAAACTATCGTTCGGGTCAGAGCTTATGGCAAACGGTCATGGGAATTGTCAACTTGTAGTATTTGTCATAACTGGTTATCCTTTTTTTGTCTAATTTCGTCATATATATTTTCCTAGAACTATTACGTTCCTTATCAAACTTTCAAGAGATTAGTCTTCTCCCTATAAACCTACTCATCGACCTCAAATTGGCAGTCCTATTTAAGGATTGTCATGCGTAACAATACAAGCATATTCAGTGTATACTTCTCTCCCTCCAAAATTTTGCTTCACGACAAGAGGAAATAAATTTGTCCCTTTTATCGACCACTTCAATTATCCTAGAAGTTGCATCAACCCTGGTGGGTTGGTAGCTGACTAAATTTTGTTACAGATTCAGAAACCTCTTTTGGTTTTTGGTAACGTTTATCACTTGTGGCGTAGGCAGGATGTCTATCGCAGAGGTTCATTCTGTGTCTTTATATGTCTGGGAAATATTGCATATGTAAATAAAAGATTTGAGTAGGACATGAATATTTCACCATAGGTGCCTTCGTAGCATTTCTCAATTATTATCGAACACCAGGTTCAACTATTTCGAGGTTTGACTTGGGATACTAAGCAAAGATGGGAAGCTGATTGATAAAGTTGTGAATCCTCACTGACTAGAGTTTCTAGAACATATGTTATGTATACTAAACTACCACGCCTTGAGACGCGATGTTGGATAGCCTAAGAGTAAGTATTGAAGGGACTACCAAACCAAAGCATGGCATCTGTCTCTGCAATCATTGAAATCTAGACATGTCGGTAGATTCAAACTACTTGACTGCGGTCGAGGCGGTGATTGCCAGACGTTGGATGACTTGGATCAGATACATCTATCCATATCTTTCTATAACTTTTGAATTTAGTGTCATCCCACGCTTTCCATTCTCTGATCTCATTTATTTTTATCTATTACGCTAGTGCTATTACTACTTATTGTACTCTGGTATCTCACTATGGTGATATGCGGTGAAACTGAGCTGATGCATATTTGTACCAGATTCTACACTGCATATAGATGACTGACTCTTCATAGTTAAATTTCTTTACAGTTGATGTTGTTTTCTCTCGTCTGCTTCTTGTTAGCTTCCTTTCTGACTGTCCTAATATGAAATACGATAATTTGGATTGGCAGATATTCCTTTCAGGTCGTAAGTTGTCTGTTACTGGTTAATTCCAAGGAATAAGAATGAGTTCCATTCATTCCTATCGAGTACAGGACTGTGTAATCGGCTTACAGCCACTTTTTGTATTTCAAGGTTAATGATACTACTTGGCTGCACAAACTGATGTAGATGCTACAGGGTTCAAGTTTAAAACCTATTGATTGGGAGTTGACTACTTTACTCACTGTGTTTTTATAGTTTATTATGTTACCGATTATATAAATATTGGTAGTGACCTATTGTTACAATTATTCTATGACTCATATTTCACATTCATGTTATGTATGATTTACGTTTTATTCCAAGTAGACATCGCTTCACTAAATTCTACCAAAGAACCATGTTCAATAAGAAATTCAATTTATGTACCTGAAAATCGACAAACTATTATGGGATCATTTTGTCGACAAATAACCTCGTCCATTATTCCTTCTTCAGATCCGATTTTATCTTATTGTAAACCAATAGATTTAAATTTGACTTCAAATAATAATTATATTGCATCAATGCCATCGATGTTTCAACCGTTACCTTTTTTACTACAGTCGACTTCGTCTTCAGTGATACCAGTTTCATCGTCATCAACCTTATCGTCCAGTTTATCATCTTTTCATAGTCCGTATAATTTACCATCGTCTGTTTATCCGTCCGTACCATTTTCTAACCATCTATGTCCTTCATACTGTTCTTTCTCATCTCATAGTTTGAAACCTATTCCAAGCGTTAAACCTTATTTATCCTCTAATCATACATATTTAGAATCATCTAGGATTATACTGGATAATGTCAATAGCAAATCATTTAATCAATCGACTACATTCAATGCCCCCAGTACGACAATAACAACTGCGACTATGAATGCCGCTGCTATAATTACAAATACAACAGAAGATTGTGCTTATCATCAATCCGAGCAATTAAATTCAACTATATTACATCATGCATCCGGTGATAACTTATCTAATCAAGACAGTAAATCCTCTTTCTTATATCCACCTGTTTTCAATTTCTCCTCTCCTAAAATTTCTGCCATCGTTGAAAATATTAGTGATAATAATAACTCCTTAACTAATTCAGTTACTGATCAATTCCCGACATCTAGTTCAAATGTTCCTCAAACTTGCTTAATTCCATCATCAACATCATTGACTTGCATAAATGTATCTCAATTAACACAAACCTCGACCGTATCTCCAACCCAACTACTTAGTAATAATACCAACGATAATTTATCGAATAACTTTGAAAATGGTATGCTGATTACTAACAGTGATAGTAATAGCAGCGGTAGTAGTAGTAGTATTAGTACCATTACTACTAGTTGCATCAGTAATATCAATGATGATTTGAATATTGATAAAAAATCGCCTAGTCTTAATATTAACAATTCATCTGAGTCAAATACTTCAGAAAGTACAAATGCTGACGAAAAAGTAAGATCATTTTTGATTTTATAATTCTTTTGGCTTTTATGCTTTAGTAGTATGGTATGGGCTCCTTAACCACTAAGACACCATTCCAGACTAATAAAATACTCACGGGACCAATCCAAGATGTTTTTATGTAGCAGGACTACTTTGTTAATATATATTAATAGGATAAAGCTATTATTGATGCACAGAATATCCGGACAGAGTAATATGATTATTAATTTTTTGTAGCTTAACAAATGAATAATTAAGCACTAAAGTCAAGGCTAAGAAACAACCATTGATTATTCACTTATGTTCATTATGTAATTAACATGTTATTCAGTCACATATTATGTTTCTTTCTCATTTGTCTGTCCAAGTTTAATAAATTTTAAAACCATAGTTTTGATAAATTGATTCACAACTGAGTAGTTCACAGTGTAAATAAACTAATGTATTTCGGTAAATAAGCGTAGCTTTGTATACTCAACTTCGAGCCACGCTTTTTATGTGAGAGTGATAGATTATTCGGCTGCCTGAATCAAAGTAGAACTAGGTTCAAGCCTGCAACCAGATTAATACTGTTTTAACAACTAAGCTATCCCTTCATTAACCTTTAGTTTAAGCTTAATCAGCCATTCTAACACCAAGTGAATTCTTAAGCTACTTTTTAGCATGATTTACTTTTGACACACTTTCTTCTCTTTGCGCTTCTGTGTAAATACTTTTTACGACTGAATACAGAAGGCGGACGTATCGTGAATGCCAGAGCGGTTTATACCAATCTGCCCCATCTTTTGCACTGTCATGATGTTATTCTGGTTGTTAAAGGTTGGATTTACAACGCATTAATAAGAGAAGTTCTCCTCTGTGCTTCTGATACCTGGTGTTCTCAAATTGGAGATGTTTAGCAACTCTCTGTGCCTGATCATCGTTGTCTGTGAAGGATCGCTGACAGTTAGTAATGTTGAGGTTTGGAAATATGTGTTTGAATGCAGTGACGGTAACTAAACTGATGTTACTACCTTGAAACACTGGGTTCGGTGGTTTGGACATGTTTTACGAATATCTTCCCAGTTTCTTCTATATAGTGCATTATTTGTCGACATCTGAACGGTGTGATAAAGGCAGAATGGTGTACGATTTATAAAATAGGGCTGTGCTATGAAAAAAAGTTGTGTAGGACTGACTTCTATCTATCCACTGCGACTCAACGGCTGGGATCCGAGAGATGGTGCAAGTCCACGGCTTAATACATTATCAGAAACGGGTCATGATAGAAGTCATTGACAATCCTGCCATATCTTTCCTTTATATTCTTCACAAAAGTTAGAGGAGCCCCGTTAATTGAAGAGTATTTTTTTTTGTATTCTCAGGCGATCTGTATCTCTTTTTAAACTATCCTCGTTAATGTATTTTTATTCGCTGTTTGTTTTGGTTACATTCCCCTCTCCTCCCTTGATCTCATTTTATTATTTATGTGACTCATGTTTATTTTTATACCCTTTTGTACCGCTGTTTATGTTTTGAGTAAATAAATAACAGGAAACAAAAATCGATACTGACTAGTATGTATGTGTTAAATCGGTTTGTTTATGTCGATGTCTTTCTTATTTCCTGTCAACACCTACCTTGGTGTCAATTGGAAAATAACTAATGGCGGTTAAACCTAGACAGGGTATTGGTCTGTGAAATTATTTAATGTTGGACTAGGTCGTGTTGAAATTCACAGACTTGATATTATTCAGCGATGTAATCCTGACATACTACTGGAGACCTCATGTGATAGGAATGACAGTCGGTTACAGCGAACCAGATATGATCATCCTTTATTATTTTTCAGGCACTAATAATAATATTTTGGCTACTTTCATTTTCATCCTGTTAATTTCCTTCCCTTGTTTGTGTTTGTTGCCTGGTGGCTGGGGACTTTATGTGACAGCTCAAAATCTTTCACAATGACGCAGATCTATTCACTTTTTATCGTCCTGTCAATATCGAATTCCAGTATTCCTTCTACATGTTTTTGACCTGTTTTTCTAACCACATTCTCAACTCTTATTCCTTCTTATTGTCGTTACTACTAGATTGTTTCGATGGTATGGCTACTTTGACCAACGCACATCCGTGCCAGACTGTACTTTGATGATAACTGAATGAAAGTCTGCGTACTAATGCCAAGTGTGACAGTTTAGGCCGACATACATATTTCAGGCTCTACTGTGTATATGATTGATTGGTACCAATTAATTGTCATCTACATTTTTAATACCTATCGACTTCCATTAAATGCCATCAATGCGCTTAGTTTACTGTTGTTTGTTGTAGAAATTAAATGTCGACGAAACCACTTGATAGCTATGCGTAATATTATCTTCATTAGTCTTCAATAATTATTAATTAGATGTTATTTTAATTTCTTTTTCTGTGGTTTTTAGCGCAACGGTCTTCCACGTTTCAATTTACGCTATACTAATGTACTCCATTATCCAAAATATTCCAGTCGTAAAAATTCAGGCTTTGAAAGACGTCTTAAGTAAGTCAATTAGCGTTTATTACTACTATTTACTTATTTATTATCACTATTTTAATCGTTCATGAAATTTATTTTAGTTAAACAACCATTGAATAAAAGGAAGCATTGGACATCTGTTTCGTTAAATACTTTATTCAACAAATAGAGTATTCACAAATTTGTTAATTTCATTAAGAATAAAATCTATATCAACATAATAAACGATCTCGATGACGCTAAAATTAACTTTAACTCTGCTTAAGGTCTATCGTCCTGAGTATCATCATAATATGTACAATGAACAGTGTGAGAATATTATTGCTATAACTTGTGAATTGAATGCTGATTGTGTTGCTTTCTGGATCTGGTCGTCGCTGATTGTTATGTCAGAAACGCTTATCACTTATACTCGGAACGAGGCGAAAGTAAGAACACAAAGACTGGTATAAGTGAAGATTTATTAACCCCCAAAACACGACGACAACGACCCTAGTCGAAAATACACTCATTTATATATTGATTCGTACACCCATTTTGATTAATATTTAGAATGAAGTCACGCATAAAAAATACTTAGAGTTATAATAAATCATATACTGAGCATAGTTCATATCAATTGGATACAAGAATATCGTATATTATACAGAATAAGATATCATACGACGAAACAAAACAAATATTACACTGAATAATCATTGCCCCCAAATGCCCTGGTACGCCCGAGAGTGGGGAGAGTCCGCTTTCCCTCTCAAAGTGCTCTCACATGGCCACGCGTATATAGCCTCTGCCAGGGAAGTCCTACTCAGTGCCTTCTCGTGGTGGGGGTGTTGTTTACGAAATTGAGAGGACGAAAAGCGAACGTCCGGCGCTTTAGCCGGGTCGGTGGACACGGAGAGTCCACCTAGGGGAGTTGGAAAACCCTGATTCCAAATCAATGGTTCACATGGGCTCCTGTATCCTGAAGGAACGGATGGCGTATGAACCAATCGTTGGTTACCGGCTACCATGGGAATGCATCTCCTTACGATGCTCCACTGCCTTGTGGATCAGACGTTCAGGTCGAAGGCTCCGGGTGTGGCCCCCTAAGAAAACCACCTGCTTCGGTTTGGGCACTTGGGCAGTATCACAGCACTCACACATATCGAATGAGATTTGTATGGCACATATGTATTTGGTGCCTCCTTGTGCCAATATCTATGTGTTAAAATAAATAAATTAAAAAAAAATAATCATCACATTGAATCAGGACGGATGTAATGTTGAACAAAACTCATAATGAGTAAATCAATTGTATTTTGACTTTTCTTTCCATCTTTTCAATTATGAATGATGATGAAACTGGTTCGAAGCTGATCACATCCACACAAAGCGTTTATCTATGATGTTTTTTCTCTAACCAATGAATCGCATTGTTCTGTTCCCGTATTCTCTGTTAATTTCATCCAAAAAAATATTTTTTTATTTCTACTCTCAATTGTATTTTCTTTTAAAACCGTTAACTAGTGTACACCATTGAATGTTTATTAATTTTATTTCTGTTTATTTGAGCTTTTTTTATTCTCAGTAAGTTTAAAAGTTGTACCACAGATAGATGATTGACATGTATCAAAATATAAACTAATTACTTCATTTCGTCAGATATCAACAACATATGATCAATCACTGTGTAGTGGCCAATGTTGTATTTGTCTTTCCCTTTTGTGCTGATCGAATTCTGTCTATCAGGTTTCTGGCGAGCTTCAAGTAGCACGAACTCTAGGTTCAGGATTTCCTGTCGACTATCTTTAACCAACTAACACCAAAACATTGTGCACGTGAAATCGAGTCACATGGTAACTTGATTGATAAAATTCGATCAGCACTAAAGAACTAGAACTATGTTCAGGGTTTTCTGTCGACTGCCTCTAGCCATTTAACATCACATTTAATCACCTGGCACGAATATGCATTGGTTCAAATTCCTTTAACCGTACATCAGTAGTATGAGATAGAAAATTAATAAGATATATGACAAAGAAGCCAAAATAACATTAGTAACAATGATATTAAAATTTATATGCGTGTTTTTCAATAAGCGATAAACCAGTTGATAAGGTTTTGAATCTTTACCGACCATAAGACAACCTGTCTATATTCTTAGATAAAGTTTTGCGTGAAAGTTGAAGGTATTTGTACTAAGACTAGTCATTAATTTTTCTAAAACATATTCCGATTCACAGACTTTCTCATCTAAATGAAGTACACATTGCAAACAAAATAAATGGTTAGGAGAGATCATTGAATTCTGTAACTCAAAATTAATTACACTGATCCAAACTACTGACACATTTCTTCTCTTTATGCTTCTATCGGTCTTGTATATCATTTTTTATTACTATTAATATCGTCTGTTTTATATTTTTCTTGTATGCTATAAGAGGTAAAACTCTATGCTTTGATAAACAGATGTACAATCATCAAATTCAATTCAATTACGCCTGTTACTCCTCGTGAAGGAGCATAGGCCGCTCACCAGCATTCTCCATCCAACCCTGTCCTGGGCAATCCTTTCTAGCTCCGTCCAGTTGTAATTCATCGTTTTCATATCTGCTTCTATTATCCGACGCAATGTATTCTTTGGCCTTCCTCTTTTTCGCTTCCCTTCAGGATTCCAAGTTAGGGCTTGCCTCGTGATGCAGTTTGACGATTTGCGTAATGTATGTCCTATCCATTTCCATCGTCTTTTCCTAATTTCTTCTTCAGCTGGAAGTTGGTTTGTTCTCTCCCACAGAAGGCTATTGCTGATGGTATCCGGCCAATGGATGTTGAGTATCTTGCGTAGACAACTATTTATAAATACTTGTACCTTCTTGATGATGGTTGTTGTAGTTCTCCAAGTTTCAGCTCCATACAGTAGAACTGCCTTGACGTTGGTATTGAAGATTCTCACTTTGATATTGGTTGAAAGTTGTTTTGAGTTCCATATGTTCTTTAACTGTAGGAATGCTGTCCTTGCTTTGCCAATCCTTGCCTTTACGTCTGCATCTGAACCTCCTTGTTCATCGATGATGCTTCCTAGGTATGTGAAGGACTCTACATTTTCCAGAGTTTCGCCATCAAGAGTGATTGGGTTGTTGTTTTCCGCTTTGAATTTGAGGACTTTGGTTTTCCCTTTGTGTATGCTGAGGCCTACTGATGCAGAGACTGCTGCTACACTGGCTGTCTTCATCTGCATCTGTTCGTGTGTACGTGATAGAAGGGCTAGGTCATCTGCGAAGTCTAAATCGTCTAATTGGTTCTGAGTTATCCACTGTATTCCCTGTTTTCTCTCAGATGTCGAGGTCTTCATCATCCAGTCGACCACCAGAAGAAAAAGGAAGGGAGAGAGTAAACAGCCTTGTCTGACTCCGGTCCTTACTTGGAATGCATCTGTCAGCTGTCCTCCATGCACGACTTTGCACTGTAGTCCGTCGTATGAGTTCCGGATAATGTTGACAATCTTCTCAGGAACTCCGTAGTGTCGAAGAAGTTTCCATAATGTCCTCCTATCTACACTGTCGAATGCTTTTTCATAATCAATGAAGTTGATGTATAGTGATGAGTTCCATTCAACTGATTGTTCGACGATGATCCGTAGTGTTGCAATTTGGTCTGTGCATGATCGATCCTTACGGAATCCAGCTTGTTGATCTCGAAGTTGGGCGTCTACTGCATCTTTCATCCGGTTCAGCAACACCCTATTGAAGACCTTCCCTGGTATTGACAGCAGTGTAATGCCTCTATAGTTCTCACATTTGCTCAGATCTCCTTTCTTTGGAATCTTGACGAGGTGTCCTTCTTTCCAGTCCATCGGCACTTGTTCTTCCCCCCAAATCTTTTTTAATAGAAGATAAAGCGTGTTTGTAGTTGCTTCGATGTCTGACTTCAGTGCTTCAGCTGGTATGTTGTCCGGTCCCGCTGCTTTCCCGTTCTTGATTTGTCTGACGGCCATTCTGATTTCTTCCTTCGTTGGTGGGTTGACGTCTATGGGAAGATCTGTGTGCGCCGCTTCGATGTCCGGTGGATTCATTGGAGCCGGCCTATTCAGGAGTTCCTCGATGTACACAATGATGTAATTTAACCGAGTAGTGATGGCTACTCACATGACACAATTATTGAGTCGAATGGCCGAAGAAACAAATGAATACTACTTGTAGTTAGAGGAACAGAATATTTTGTCACATAAAATAAACATAGTTAGAAGTCATTAAGTGATTGGAGGATATTACTTTTATTGGTTACTCACTCTTCAGTAAATTAAGATCCGACTGTTAAACTGGATTTAAACCTACCATGTAACTGTACCCATTTGTTTTTGCTTTTTGGGTTATTGTGTAAGAGGACATTGCGGATACCAACGTTGTCAGATGCCACATATCCGAAAAGAAATTCAACGATTATAAAACAATGAACTAGTTATTTGTATAGTCTGCAAATCATTTTTACAATTTACGCATGCACCTATTGTAGGCTATTAATTAAATTATTGACTGATTTAAGAGTAATTTAAGAGAGCTAGGCTGAAACATGGCATCATGTCATAAAGTCATAGACTATTGGTTTTAGTCATGCTGATATATGCAGTGTACTTAGTTCAGAGTATGGTACTGTCGACGCAGTAGTCGCGATCAGTGGTTGAAGATTTCGCGTGGAACGGCTCAAAGTCTTTGGTAATAATACAAATGGATTTATCCAGTGTATTCCTCAAGATATTGGGTTTTAATATTATGTTTTATATTTTTTATCCCACCAATTAATTCCATTTTTTGGTTCATATTCTCTTCATTTAGTCTTTTTTTCTTAACGACTATTTCAACTTATGTTCTATTCATTTGGTTAATTTCAAACTGGCTATGCTAATTTGATTTGGCGACATAGACTGATCCCCACGTGTATCTATCTCAACTCTTACTTACTGTGGTTCTGACTACTGTCCGACTAATATTCACTTGGGAATTTCAACAACCATGGCCATGAAATTTACAAATGATCAGTAACCATTTAATCAAGTGAGGGTCGATGATTTCCTAATAAATATTGTCTTCTGTTCTGTGTTGTTCCGGTTTGTGGGTTCCCAAATTCACCACCGTAATAAAATCCTGATAATTCCAAAAATAGAAAAAGGTACACAATCTAAAGAAAATTAGTTTTTGTCTGAGTGTACTATTGTCAGTTTCAAGCTTTACATTGGGGGAACATTTGTATCATGTCAAAGATTATATATATATATATATATATATATATATATATATATATATATATATATATATATATATATATATATATATATATATATATATATATATATATATATATATATATGCCATCCTTTCTGATTGATGTAAAATTGTTTTATAGTCTATATTGGATTTGATATTATCCATATCATGTGGTAATGATTATTATATATGAAACGAAAAGAACTTGACATCATCACAGCACATGTATGTTTAATCACATAACATTGACTAAATAATCGGTTATCTGTCTAGCCTTTCGTACTACCAATACACGCGTAAATGCCAATATACACTACTTTCCTTCTTCATGAGTATCAATCACAAACGTTAAAATGGCCTAGTTTAAACAATTTGGAAACTCGATTTCAGCTAGATTTATTTTTAGCCTAGATTATTATATTAGTCTAGTAGTGGTATGATTTCAATCACTATTTTCTAAAGTATGCTTGTTAACCGTTTTGTTTGCCTGTTATTTTCTGTTTGCATGAGATATACGTTTTTACAGATTACATTTTTACACTGATTTTAGGACTCCACGCCTACGCAATGTAGATATGTACACACGTAGACAAATTAACGCATATTTGTATTCATATACTATTCTTACTACATTTTTATCCAATGTTTGTTAGCTTGTTTTCTATCTAGGTAAGCATAGCAGTCATGACTATGCCAGTGTAAAAAGCATGATTGACCTTGAGACAGGTTTCATTTGCTACGCGAACTATTCTAAAGCTACAATGTGATCGTATTACACCCACGCTATTTCACTCGAAAACAGATAATTCATTTTAGTCTGTAGAAGTAATTATTTCTCATGATTGATTTCATCTAAAAAGTACTAGATAGAGTAGCGATGATCAAGGTATGAAAATAGTTAAGGTACCTACTCAGCATGGCTCGGTTACTGTATCAGACCCTTGTATATATTAAATCACGAAGTTCAGGGAAGACATCTTTCAGTGAACTGGTTATTACTCTTTACAATCATATATATATATACCGTAACGACCTATGAATAAGCATGATGATTTGATAAAAAGGTAATAATACTAGATTATGTAGTGTAAATAATAAAATAAAAGCTTGTGTGTGTGCGAATAAAAATTCATATGAAATTATGAATATGAAAAATTATATCAGCACTGTATATCAACACTTAAGTAAAACTGAGGTATTAGGTGTTGGGTGATCTGGCCATTAAAAACTACGTATCATGTGTCCCTTAGCTGCCACTCTGAAAACTGTATACCAAAGAGACTGAAGGATTGTTAATTAATGACACATTGTGAATTAAAGTTATATCTAATTTACATATGGTGGGTGGTAAGTATCAACTTTTGTGTTAATTTTCAAGGTTCATATGATTTAGTAGCTTGAATCTTTTATCGAAAAAAACCCCCAACTCTCGAAGTCGGCGAAAAATTGGTTTTATTTTTCAGTCTTTCATAGTAATTAGTTAAATCTGCTTTTAGAAAGAAAAATATTCCTTTCAAATATGTTTTCTTACTCTTAGACTATTTGTTCCTTGTAACAGTTTATTTCTTTGCATTATTATGATTATTTTCGCTGCATAATTTTTTCTAATTTTCTGCCTTCACAATATTGCTATTTTCTATTCATTGGTTCGTGGTCATATCAAAATATCGGTTCAAGTGCTACATATTAGGTTTTGAAGCGGAGAAGTATTGCTTGAAAGTTTAATCTTCTAACCATTCAGCCTTACTGCTTTTAACATTATGACGTTGTCCACGAGGTTATTGAGCAAATAGTTATTATTGTCTTTATTATCAGTTTGTTCAGTTATTTTGGAAATCGTATACTTCGGTTATTTTTGTTCACTCAATCGATTATTTTAATAATTAGATTGAAAAGTCATCTGATTGGTGTGTAATCAAACACTGAAGTCATCTAATGACGGATTTTTCCAAACAGGCATTTAATATCTCGCTTGCTAACTCCCACCTATCTGCTCTCTTGACATGATTACGTGTTGTAGAGTGTAGTTATCATGGCTTTTTATTTAGTATGTAAGGGGGTTGGCTTCTGTCCTCATCTGTGCCTGTATTCTGTCCACATACAAAGGAATCATAGCACGTGTGTGCGAAGTAAAGTGCTAACGAAAATCTATTTTACTACAGGGTTACATTTGAAAATATAAGATTTCAATAACACATATCATCCAGTTATCGTCTCCTTGGTCCCTGCTACAAATATACATCAGCTCAACTTGTCATACAATATCATATATAATCGGCACAATGTTATATATATATATGTATAACATTGTTGAAATAGTAGTAAAATGAATGATGGAAATATTTGTAAACATGTTGGTGTGTTGTAAGTTGGATATAAGATAAATCAATATATCTTATTTCTCGTATTAGTTGCTCACTTTCATTTTTCCACTTCCTTTTCTTCATTTGTCTTTATTTTTTCGCTTTTCTTCAACTTTAGACATACTGGACTAATTTTAGATGCAAAGTCAACTTTACGTTTACTAAGAAAATTCTTACAACCATTCGTTAATCGTGACTTTGATCAGCTTATAAAAAAGTATATGGATGTAAGTGTATGATATATATAGTTCCGTTATTATTATATTATAAATATTATTCGAAATATATGGATAACTGTCTCAGCATTAAACTAGATAAGTATTGTTGTGAATTAGGATTCCAATGAAATGTGTTTTGTTAACCTTGTGTGTTTTCTAAGATCAGTTGCTTAACTGTAAAGCTCTCGTTTTTTATTTGGACATCAGCTTTTTCTTCACATAGAAGTAAAATGATCATGTCCCCGAGAGCAACAATGAAAGCTTCAGTGAGCTCAGAGAACACAACGAAAAAGCATCCATCATTTTATAAAGGGCTTACTCAACAGTAATACCCGGAAAAAAATATATATTCTAAGTGAAGAACAAAGAATGAAATATATTTGTAGTTTGCGTCATAATTAGTCTAGAAACATATTTTTAGTTCTTTGTAATATGATATTGAATAGAATACTATATGGGTTAATATTTAAACAAAAAACTACTATTCAATCGTTACAAATGTATCTATCAACGGTTTACATTAAGTCATTCATCCATTTACACGTGCCGTTTTTTTTGTTCGGTAGACTTTTTCTAGCTGACTGACTGATTTGTTAGACTACTTTTCAGTTTACGGTTCATATATCAGTCAGTCACAACTCAGAACCTGTACGTATGTACATTGGTTCGAGTTGTTATACGTCATTAGCACAGAGAGATAAATTTCCTAGACCGAATCCCACAGTATTAGAGGTATTAACAGTATCAGTGGTAGTAGATTAGGCATCGAAGTTATGTCTCGAGAAGTGAATATAACTTAGTGAAATAAAAACAAAAAAATGTTTTAAGAAATCGGTAATTTCAGAATTTGGGTGAAGACAAAGAATGAATCGACCTTCGCCATTGCAAACGGTTTAGACCCATGTCATTCAAAGTTTCTAACCCTTGATTATGATAATCACACAGACTTCAACCAGCTATTTAACACCTATTAAAACGGCTAGTTCCAACTGTCAGTGACTTCATGTATTAATGCCATGATTTAGTTTTGCCGCCGCAAGAAAACATTGCCCGTCGATGTAGGCAGTGGATGAGGCCACTTAACACTTGTCCCAACCAACTCAAGCTAGAACTACGCAGCGACCTGAACTCGAGAGAAAATTCGCAAAATAAGCGAAAAACACTTTACTCCAAAGGTTCACTTTTGTGCAGAAAAACACGTGTATTTGTAGATGTTAACATTTGTTAAATCAACATCATATTTTGGCCGATCCGCTAAAAGACATATTATGATACTGATCAATAGTAGCCCGCCACGTTGATATTCTAGAAAGCTCCATCATGCTCTGATTGGTTAGGACTCTTCGGCTACTGTAGGGCCTCTGGAGGCTCCGTTGCAGTTCTCGGAAAGCCGACTCAACAGACAGTCTTCAATTGATCCCCTTCAACGATGGCTAATGACAATGTGGTCAGTTTGAGTCAATTATGGTGGTCACCACGTCAAACGATCTTTCTCCTTATGTTTAACGTCGGTGTGTGCCAGAAATAGTCGGTTATTTGGGCATAGTTCGCTATGCCGCAATTTATACACGCAACTTTGTGACATAAATACCTAAGGTTCTATGACTATATCGTACTGTAGTGAACGAAAACTCCCTGTTTTCTTCATTTCAGTTTTCTGCTGGTAGGCATTCCACTTCCGATCGTTACTACATGCTACTTATATCTATCAGCACAGTACCACTAATTGTTTCTTTTCAAACAGAAAGCATCTGTGGCAATTTGCCTTATTTACCACTGTAGGAAAAGGTTAGAAACGTCCAAATTCAAAAATAATATACCTTACCTTGTCCCATGGATCTCCATCCCAGCGGTAAAATCCTTAAAACACAGAGCTGCTACACCAAGACCTGCCTGAAAAAATGTCGAATGTGAGGTTGGCTTGAAGCGCTTATCCCTACGGCTCCATGGTCACTCACACGTCACCACGGTCACTACTAACCTAGTTTGCTTTTCAGGTACTTCAAGAAAAAGTGCCCTTCTACGGTATTGAAAACTGGTATGTGATAACTACCCACATACGTTTTTGACAAAAGAGTGACGTAGATAGGAAGTAACTGTAAATTAATAGGAATAAAACAAACTTGTTCGAAATAATACCAAACTTTGTATTTTGCTGGTGTTTATCTATTTGTAATAGAATGAAATGGTTTTACTGATTTATAAATACTCATAGTTTCTTAGCTGTTCGATTACCTCATGGTAATAATCGAACTTTTTTCTGTCAGATTTATGAAATCTATAACGAACTTTCATCATTACTAATGAAATTGTAGTTTGTTCCCGCTCTGCCTTCATTTATTCACAAAGGAAGTGTTTACTAACTGACCAATAGACTGGAATTCATGTTTTATACATAACTGCGTACATTGATTGCATTGTATCACTTGTTTAGTATGATTATTATCGTTCAAATCACTGGATTTGTGACTTTAGGTTTCGCTTTAAATCAAATTTTTCAGTACTCATTACTCGTACGTAAAATAAAGTTCCACTTTCTTCATAGATTTGGATTATGTGGCTTTATTTAGTGAATTAAGATTTTGTATACTAGGTGTTGCGTCATGATATGCTGCTAATTCAAGACAAAGCAATAATTTAATATTGTTCTTCCTGGTTTTCATCTGTTGTTCTTCAGTGTTGATATTAGTTCATGTTAAAAAAATCAATGTAGATTAAAAAGTTTCACAAAACAATCATCTTCCTAGAAAATACAAACGTAGACACTAACATTGTTTTTTTGTTACAAATGTCTACTAATTATATTTTCAGTGATGATTCTATGTGTTTAATGTGATTTTCTCTTAAAGAAAATTTAGCCAAAAAAGATTTCTTCTTTTTTTTGTAAAGTCATATGATTGTAATTTATGTGATTTACAGAAACCTTTTTTGTCTCTTCTTTGAAATTTGTATCTACTTTTTTTTCTCGTGTGTGTATGTGGAAAAAAAAACAGGATTTCATTCTACTGGCTGTGAATAATATTCGTGATGTATTAGGTGAACAATCTGTGTCTGAAAGTGATTTGACTAAATTTCGTCAAAGTTTAATCCATCGGGTAAGTTAGTTGTCTGTTGAATATTGGTTTGAATAAATTTTCTAAGGTAGAAATATTTTCACATTTATATATTCATTGTTTAATATTTCACCTTTGTATTACTATAGAAATAATAAATAATAATCATTAATACTCCAGTGGTAATATTCATGATTGTGATATGTTGTGTTGATTCTTTTCTTCAGTGATGATCACAATGCATAAAGCTTAATTCTCACAATCTATCCTCTGCTGATGATTAGCCTTACGAGCGTCACATATAGTGTAAAAATGTTGAGTTGTTTTGTTAACTGTGACCGCATTGCCGATTAGATCAATAAAGTGTGATCATTATCAATATAAAAAGTTTGTTAAATTTCTACATTTTGCATCACGAATTGATTTTAGTTAGACAAATATTAAAAACTGGCAGGCATAAGATATCCGTCTCAGTGTACAACTCGATGTCTTAGCTATGTACATCCACAACCCCAATTGGAACCGGATATACAACTTATAGGTCACGTGGCTACCATTTTATCTTCAGATTAGAGTCGCTGAACGACGGTTTACATTTCTCATTTCAATTAGTTCTTGATATGGTGCAACTATATTCTAGTGACTGATTTTACTGGTCATCAAGAGTGTTCTGTAAGTTTAATGTTCTTCATATGTATTATTTCATGATTAGATCTTTATCAATAGGTTTCAGTTTCAGTCGTGATTATATTTTCCAAAGTCTACTTATTAATTAGTGCTTTAGTTCTCGGAGAATTTAATAATTTACAATTCACTTCAGTCTTGTTTTTGTTCTATTTTGTTCAATACACCATCAAATCTTCCCAGTTGAGGAATGTCAACATACATGAAAATGGATTTCAACTGAAAGCAATAACCTATTCACTTGTTGTATATCATCTGTTTGATGATAATGACAATATATTCCTAACAAAATAAAATTTTCCCCAAAAGATTATAAAGTAATATAAATTTTGCATTATACCTGTCCCATATTCATGTCTCACTTTAGAACCTATCGGTTTTCAATATTCAGTTAAAAACGTTTTCATGTAAAATATAAGGAAAAAATGGTTCATTTGAATCGAACGTATTCCTTTTCATTCCAGTTGCATCTGGCATATGCCTGTTAAATAATTAAAAACATTTAGGTTAACACTTCTTAGAGTCGTCACTTATTGACTTAAGCAATTAAACTCGTAATTAATAGGAAGATTTTAAGCTCATACTTCTCAATTTCATGAAGTTTTATCCATGCGGGGATAGTAATAACAACAGATACCTCCAATCCCCATCTAATCTCAACATGGTGCACGCAGTGTCGAGTCACCTAGACTGGTGGCCACAGTGAAACATGGTCGATAGCATTCTATCTGCACTAATAAGGACTTGACACACATGACATTGATCACCACCCAGTGATCAATCAATTGTGATTACAACAGCTATCATTCATATTTCATTTATGCAAACGTATTCTCATCTGTTGTATTATATTTTTAAACTTATTTTAAAGTCCTCTATAAATTCTGCATAATCCAGTTTCTCAACATATAAACATTCATTTCTCTAACTGTAATTATGTCATCTTATCATTTCAATTAAAGGTCTACCTTTCAAAGCAGATTATTCTGTATTTTTTTATGTACAATTTTTTGTGAGAAAACTGGAAAAAAAATCATTTCGTCTAAACACAGACAACCGATAACCTTGATCTTATATGATTGTACAATTGCTAAAAGGCGGAAAATAAAATCTTTAAATTCGAATTTATAACGTTATTAATGTCTGATAGCTGGAATCTTCAAGCCTACATTTCTCAATGATTATTGATTGTACATTTAATCCCCATCGACACATCAACATATCTATCTGATTTTCCAAAAACATTCTTTCAAATTTCAAGCATAAATAAATTTTCATTTGTATTGGTTGTTTGAATCTTCTCATTGATGTTAGGGACTGTAACTGATCACTCTGTTTTTTGCATATGTACATTCTGTGCTGATTGCCTCTATATTCCCTTAAGTCAAAAGTATTATAAGCAGAGATGAATGGTGGCTAGCAATGGAGTTTAGGATGAGCGTTTCGTTCTAACTTAGAATCATGATGACGTTTGAAATGAACGTCGCTGAGTTTGAGTCCCTGCGTGAAAATTAACTCTGATCCAGGTACATCTGGCTTAAGAGTCCTAAGTAGGACGAGATACGCGTCCTGAATTCCACTGCTAACCACCATCCATCTCTGCTCATAATTCATCTTTCATCAACCTCTTTCTAAGAACAATAAAAGAGAATTTAACTAAATAAAAATCTTTCAATATTTGATATCTTCCATTGCCAAGGTAGAAAATCATTGAAATTCTGAAAGGACTTGGTACGTGATTTGAGACTCTCTTCGTCAAAATGGATCCTAGATTCACAGGTATTGTTACGACTATCACTATTGAGTTGAAATACAATATTATATTTTCAGCTTCTGTCAATCAACTAACCATTTATTGCGACTATTAGCCAATGCTGTCAGTGGGTATCTGCTTCGCTCTACTGACACAATATACTCCACGGGTCACGGCTTCGCATCATAACTAGGTTAATGAATCTGGATAGCCATGAAGCTGTCCAATGTTTATGAAGTTATTAGTTGGGAAACATTAAATTAAATCCATATGGTTCAAAAATAGAATGAAACGCTGGTCCTGCATTCTACGTTGTTGCTGGCTGGCTGACTGACCACTAGTATTCGTAGTCTGAATACATTACAATCCCTAACTAAAAGAGTATATCAAAGCAGTCTGCTCAGAATGAATGTATTGCAACAGAAACTGAACAATACCAATTTTGAATATCAACGGCAGAAATTTAAAAACTTGCTAATGTGAATCGTTTTACATGTTTTCAGCGAAAAGATAAAAGTACTGTGTTGAAGATAGATTACTGTAAACTTTTGCTTATATTTCCTTTGCTTGTTATTTAACTAACTATTAAAGTTGTTGCTGGCATCAACACGTGAACTAAGATTAGGGAGTGAATTAGTCGAACGCGTTGACAACTTCACTTACCTTGGAAGTTTGATCAGCCCAAATCGGTTCGTGTCTGACGAAATCTCAACGCGTGTTCAGAAAGCTCGTTTGGCTTTTGCCAAATTACATCATCTATGGCGAAGGCTAGATATCCATCTATCAATAAAAGGACGAGTATACTGCTCAGCAGTTCGTTCTGTTCTATTTTACGGCTGCGAAACGTAGCCATTAAGAGTCGAAGATACTCGTAAGCTACTAGTATTTAACCACAGATGCCTTAGAAATATTGCTCGCATCTGCTGGGATGACCGGGTAAGTAATAGTGAGGTTAGACGCAGGGTGTTAGGGAATGATAGTAAATCAGTTGGTGAGGTTGTTAATCTTCATCAACTGAGATGGTTGGGCCACGTATTACGTATGCCTGAACACCGTTTACCACGTCGTGCAATGCTATCCGGTATTGGAAATGGTTGGAAGAAAGTTAGGGGCGGCCAAACCAAAAGGTGGCATTAGTCCACAAAGTCACTGACTTCTGATCTGAGTCTTGTTGGTAGATGCAGACTACTTGGTTGGGGTCCACGCGACTATCGTAATTAGTGTTCGGAGACTCTGGCTCAGAATCGATCACAATGGCGTAGGTGTATGCACTCTCTGTCTTTCCTTAAACCATGAGATTATCACTAGCTTATATCCTTTCTACGATCTAAATCTTTCTCCGTGTATCATACTCTTATATGAAGCGTTTTTTTACTACCATTGAAGTAACTGCTTCTATGAGTTTGGTATTGATCTTGTTGTGCTATTAAGATATAGCAACTTGAACGGATGCATATATGTGCCTGGTTCTACACTGTAGATGACTGACTGAATCGGAGCCTTACATCAGTAATACAGTTTCATGAGCAGCTATCACTCGAACAAGTCATAACATTTGGTTTATGTATCCATTAGGATTCTACTCACTGATATCAACAATCGAATATTCCCCTGACCTACCCACCTAAAACCTTGTTTATAAAATTTTTATCAAATAACTTTAATATCAGAAGGGGTTTTGTGGATATTATAGTAATTTTAATAGTTGAGATCATGAGTTAATTGAAGCTAGACCACCATGGAAAACCTGGTGGTTTAGCTTCAATTGACTCATGTTCTCAACTATTAAAATAACTTTAAATTAGTTGATGAGTAAAATTAAAATTACCCAATAAACATCTAAATATAGCATTTTTAGTTAGCGATATCATGTCGAGAATATATTTTTTCTTGCGTACTCGCAAATCAGCAAAACGGGTTTCCTTTATAATGTTCTGATTAGTAAGTTAGTCATAGCCATCGTACGACTTGGCACAAATGTCACCTAAATTCCCACACGTCACATTAACAGTGTCCATCTTTCAAGAGCATAATTTTTTATATTATACTCAACTATTAATTGGCAAACTGATATTTAAGGGGTCATTTTATAAACATGTCGTTTATTCGTAAACTACCGATCTAATAGGACTGATTTGAAGCTCTAATATACATGAAGTGGTCAATACTTCTTACCAAATTCACTTCATATAATTAAACTATACAGTTATGCAGACTAGTTCTGAATCATCGTTTTAAATTTAGGAAAAAAAACGAGAAACCCATTTCAAACTTTATTGAACTATTTTTCAATGGATCCAAACGAAAATTGTATTTCCAAAAAATTCAATTTGTTATGGCGTAAACCGTGTCTGTATTTAAATTAAATAAAAATGGATAAATTGTGATCCATTCAATCAATCATTCTCTAAAAGAAATTATTATTATTATTAATATTAATCTTTTCGTTACAAGTATCAACAACAATCAATTTATTGTTTTAATAATAAAAGTACATGTAACAATTGTATTTATAGAAATTTATCTTCATTTCATAAGAGATTAAGTAAAACTTTATTTTTCATTATTTTCCACAAATAATTAGATAGGGATAATGTGACATAGT